AGAAGGAAGGACTTGGAATTTCAAGAAGGTGACCATGTGTTCTTGAAAGTCACTCCGTGGACTGGGGTTGGTAGGGCATTGAAATCCAGAAAACTTACTCCTCGATTTATTGGTCCTTTCCAAATTCTAAAAAGAGTCGGTAGTGTTGCCTACCAAATTGCTTTGCCTCCTAATCTGTCAAATCTCCATGATGTCTTCCACATTTCCCAACTTCGGAAATACATCCATGATCCTTCGCATGTGATTGAGTCGGATCATCTTGAGGTTAAGGAGAACCTAACTGTGGAAGCTACCCCGGTGAGAGTCGAGGATCGAATGGTGAAGCAACTTAGGGGTAAGGAAATTCCTTTGGTGAAAGTTATTTGGGGAGGAGCTACACCTGAAAGTGCTACTTGGGAGCTAGAGGAGAAGATGAAAGCTTCATATCCATTTTTATTTGTTTCAGGTAATTTCGAGGACGAAATTTCTTAAAGGAGGGGAGAATTGTAACACCCCATTTTTCTTATTTCAATTTTATTTTATTTTAAGGGTATTTTTGTAATTTTATAAAGGTGATAGGGGTGATTTAGTAGCTTGGAACGGGCTATTCCGGAATTGGAACGGGCCGTTCCAAACTACCAAAAAGCATGTGATTAAGTAGCTCAGAACGGGCCGTTCCGGAATTGGAACGGGCCGTTCCAAACTACCAAGTTGTGTATGAGTTAATAGCCTAGAACGGGCCGTTCTCAAGTTAGAACGGGCCGTTCCGGACTATTAATTTTGCCATTAACCCTAATTGGGAACGGGCTTGGAACGGGGCGTTCCCAAAATTGTGACCGTTGTGGGTAATTAATGCACACCAGAACGGGCCGTTCTGGTTTTGGAACGGCCCGTTCTAGATGTGATTTTTAGCCATGTTTTAAGGGTCTGGAATGGGCCGTTCCGAATTTGGAACGGGTCGTTCCGGCATAAAAAGCCTATAAATAAAGCTGTTTGCCACTCCCAAAAAGCACACCTCTCATTTCTTATTTCTTTTCTTATACTCTCTCTCTTCTTTCCTCTACTTTCTACTTCAGACCGAGGGGAACCCAACGAGGGAGATCAACCAGATCTAGTGTAGATTCAGCTTCTACATATCCAGGTACGGGGGAAAAGGGAATTATTTATATGTGGAGTTACATGAGAGAATTGGGTAGAAGAAGAGCCCTTAGAATTTTGAGTAATTTTATAATTATTTCTGTTTGAAGAATTATTGGCATTATTTGATTCTGTATATATTTAGGACAATAAATATATGATTTGTTTGTAAAAATGATGCTCTAGGAGAGAGAACGAAATTATAGAAAAGTGCCTGTAGGTTAGGTTTTGGAAAAATTGGATTATTTCTGTTTGAGGAATTAATTATACCATTAGATTCGGTATGTATTGAGGATTATAAATATGCTAATAATTTGTAAGAATGATGATCTGGGAGAGAGAACGAAATTGTAGAAAAGTGCCTGTGAGCTAGGTTTTGGAACAATTAGGGGTTTTACTGTTTATGCTGAAATTATATTAAATTACTAATAATATTAATTATTTTATTAACTTATGAATGTTCTTATTATATTATTTTATAAGAATTGATGATCGAGATGTGAATTGCTTGAGGGATGTGTAAACCCTTATTTTGTTCTGTTGAGTATGTGATATGAAATTGTGTATGTTATATGGAATCTGATATGAGATGAGATGTTGTATGGAAATGATTAAGAATGTGATTGCAATGTGTTTCCTCACACTAATGACTAGGGATGGCACGGCCCCTAGGTAAGTGGTGGTACAGGGAGGGCGTGACCCTAGCATGGTGTGGGATGAGTAAGACAGTTAACACACACCACTTATGTCGATTATGGCAGCCCTGACATATGGTTAATTGCAAGAGATTGTGTGGATTGTGATGTGATTGTGGTTCCTCACATCAATGACTATGGATGGCATGGCCCCTGGGTAAGTGATGCTACAGGGAGGGCGTGACCCTAGCATGGTGTGGGATGAGTAAGACAGTTAACACACACCACTTATGTTGATTATGGCAGCCCTGGCATAGGGTTAATTGCAAGAGATTGTGTGGATTGTGATGTGATTGTGGTTCCTCACATCAATGACTAGGGATGGCATGGCCCCTGGGTAAGTGATGCTACAGGGAGGGCGTGACCCTGGCATGGTGTGGGATGAGTGAAGCAATTAACCTGTATCACTTATGTCAGTTGTGGCGTGGTCTTGACATAGTGTTAATTGTAAGATTTATGTGGATTGTGATGGATTGATGTAATTGTGAATTGAGATATGAAGATGAGAAATGATTGATTAATTATGATATATATATATATATATATATATATGAATGCTTGTAAATATTTTATTAAGCAAACGAGTTTTGATAAGATTACATTTGTGGTGTGTTTGTATGTACTTTACATATGATTGTTTTCTTTTCTCACCGTACGATTTGTGGATGTTTTAGGTGAGAAAGATCCAGCTTCGAGTGGCATCTAGAATGCCAACAGTGGAATTGCGGGATGCTCTGATAGTGTGACATCGAGGCAAAGGATTTTTAGAATATAGGTTTTATATGGATTTGGAATTGTAAATGTTATTTTTGAAAACAATTTGAAAACTATTGCGTTTCATTTTTATTATTATTGAAGGATAATTTTGAAGATTTTCATGTGAACCCTTTTATAAAAATTGAAAAATTTATTTATAAGTTTCTATTACTACAAAATATATGTTGGGGTAGTAAGGGTGTCACAAAAACAAGTTGCCAAAAGAACAAAAAAAAAAAAAAACACGTCAATTTTATTTGAAAACGTGATAACGCTTCTTCGATAACATGGAAAATCACAATCCCAGAAACATGCAGATGCTGGTAAGCAATTTCATCGTGCCAAAATAACAATATTAACTTGAGCATGTGAGGCTAACCATACATGGGTCTGTTCTATTCTTGGGCTCATGACTAATATACGAGACAGAACCATGACATAAACTTGATGAGATGTTTATACTAACAATTAAAATATATACCTTGCGGTCAATTTTTTTTTTTTTTTAATTTTTTTTTTATGAATCTATAAATTTAAGGATAAAATACTTTATCCGTGAATGGTTTCTCAAAAATACTAGAATTGTAACGAGAGTCGGTTATAAGTTTTCAGGTTGTAGAGGAAGAATATGAAATGATTTGCAGTTTCAAGGAACCCAAATCTGCAAAAATCATTGGATATCAACCGGTAAAAAAAATATTTTAAAAGGAAAAGGATAACATGATCTATTTCATTGCTTAGCTTCAAGAAATCAATTAGAATAATCTTGGTCAGATTTTAGCCACTCAGTAACAATCACGTGAAGCTGAACTAGTTCTTTTTGGAAAGGCATTCTGATAACAATAAAATCTAGTTTACTGTAGCTACTATATCATATGTTCTTTATATTCAGCACATATTTGGCTAAGAAAATTGCATTTTCTAGTACTCATCTCTCCTTCAACAGTTACTGTACGCACAGATCCTACATTTAGATCAAACTTCAAAGCATGAATGAAAAAAATTGACATCTTTACAGACTTCTGTATATATGTGCAAGGAATATTTAATGAATACAAACAAATACAGGTTCGATCATGCAGAGTAAAAGTTAACATGTCATCTTAATGTGTCAATGCTTGTCAAAAAGATATCCTGATAAATACCAATATATGTAAGGCTAAAATATAGAGCACAAATGCCGACCTGAGTAGCATAAGCCTTTGCTGGCTTTCAGTTCTGGCAGCAGAATGATAAGGAAGCCTCTGTTGGCCCTCATAATCTGACAAACCATGTAACTTATCAGAGGAGCCTTTACTGAAACGATTCCTCGCAGTATTCACCTCTGTATTGCTGCTTTCCATTCGCCGCCATAGCCCATTCAATCTTTCCAGCTCCATCTCTTTCAGATGAATTTCACCAAGTAAGCCCTCAGCTTGTGCCTGAAAGAAAGGGAGCAAGACAGTTTGTTAAACTCTTTCACATGCAAGTAATCAATCAAACAGTTACTAACTCGCTATTATCAAAAAACAAAAATTCTTGTGTGATAGAGAATAAAGGTATGATTGGATAAACTTCTCCCAAAACAGTTATAAGAGAAGAAAATAGAAGTTAAAATGAAATAATCTTTTTCATAAGCTAAAATTAGCTTATACATAAATTAAAATAAGTTTGTGGAGAAGTTAATATTAGAGAGCTTCTATAAATTAGCTCATGCATGAGTGACTTTTAGCTTATAGAGAAGTTAATTTCATTTTTTCTTTATATTTTCTTTTCCTACAGGTGCTTTTGGAAATGTTTATCCAAAAACATCTTAAGACCGTTTTGTAAACACAAACAATATCCTATATGTTTAACATATACACTATGAACTACAAGAAGAACCTGTTTAAGTGCTAGTTGTTCAATTAGACCATGTAGCTGTTTATCCAATGTCTTCTCTCGTTGCCCTGCAGAACAAGAATGCCTTAAAGCCAAAACAATACGTGAATTCATGCAAGATGATGCTTCTTTTAACTGTACATAATTACTGGCAGAATTAACACAACAATAAAAAAAATAACATTTAGGTCCTGATAAGCGACATGGATTAGCATGAAATAATATCCAATGTTATTCAGAGATGGAAAGCATTTAAAGTCTCCCCAACTAGGTTCTTTCTTTTATCTTTGTGATAAAAGAGATCATTTAAAAAGAATAATACAAACAAGAGCATCAGGGATCTTCCTCAAGTTGCAACAAAAACAACAGAGGCAAGAAAATGAAAATACATCAAATAAAATGAAACAACCTAGTCCCTTGAAATGTCCAGTACAGAAACACTCAAATCCAATTAGATTTTTGTATCATTTTGAAAATTATTGGTACGCCATCAGAAATGCAGATGCAGGACACTCCCATATTTGTAAAAGTTTGTAACGAATGTACTAAAAGTTCTCTGCACTCATTTTCCAATGCACAAAATAAATGCTCGAAGAATATCCACCATTCGAGAAATAACCTAATCCAGTCTTATGGTGAGATTTTTATGGCATCATGGTACAATGCATACATAATTATAGCTTGCAACATTTTCTTACTAGAATTAAGTTTATGATAACTTGTCTCAATGTGATCAATTCAATTTGTCCAAATGCTACAGAACTTATGCACACAGAAAGTACAAAAAATATACCACCTAAAGCAAAAAGGCAAAAACGCATATAAACAAATTACAAGGAATTAAAATAATAATAAACAAAGAACATGATTCATGCCATCAAATTAAAAAATTATCATCTGAAATATGAAAAGAAAACCATCATATAAGAAGGAGAAAATGAAATAATCCAGGTATTAATAATGTTCACTTTTCCTTTCCAGTTCAAAGCACTGAAAACAGCATAACTAGTGAGATATCTGTGCAAGCATCGGTCCAGGTGATAAATGTCGAGTCCCACTTTCAAGGAAAATGGTTCTGTGATTTATGCTCATATCTTTCCTTCCCACATGTAGATTTATGATAAGAATCCAGGGAGAACTACACCACAAAAGCCACCTATTGTAGTTGAAAAACCTAAGACATTATAAACCTCATGCTAAAATCACATACTTCCAATGTGGATCTTAAGTTCCATACCATATAATTGGATTCTAACAATTTATTCCAATTCTTAAAACTCCTTCACCCTAAAATAAGATATAATACCTGGGGAAGGCTGTTTAAGTGCATTTTCCTGCACTTGTGCCCATTTCTTCTCCAACTCTTGTACAACGTTCTCCATTGAACCCTGAAATGAAACGAGGGTATTTAAATTGGTGAATTTAACTAAAATGCATTGACATTGTCACTCAATCATAAATTGCTAATATATGATAAGATTATTGACTTTCATAATAATTACTTTAAAATTCATATATAGAATAATTTCTAACGATTGACAGTATAAAAATCTTTGCACTGACTCAAAGTATATGAAAATAAAACTCTTAATTTGGTAAGAGTACCAATATTAGAAAGTAGTTAAATCAGTCCTGAAATATATAGCATATATCATATTAGTCCTTGAACAATGGAAATAACAATTAGTATGACTGCCATTGTTTCTTCACTATTTACTCCACATATTTGCTCCTAGTCCCAACAGAAGAATCCAGGGAGAACTACACCACAAAAGCCGGCTATTGTAGTTGAAAAACCTGAGACATTATAAACCTCACTCTAGAATCTCATACTTCCAATGTGGATCACTATTAAATAATAACATGTTACAGTTAAGCAAATAAAAGAGAACTACATGATTGACGAACCAGCTCTTTCTTCTTCTTTTCCAATTCATCTAGTATAGCCAATCTCGATGCTTCTGCATTTGCATCCAACCCAGCTTTAGAATTCGTCTTTATTTCTTCCTCCCATCCATCAGTTACCGTACTTTGCGGATTCATATTCTCCACCTCTGCTTTCAGTTTCTTCTCAGTTTCATCCATCTCCTGTATCACAATAAATCCCCCCAAAAAATAAATAAATCAATAGAGCCAAACCCAACCTCACAATCACAAGCACAATCCTAACCTGCAACCTCGCCCTGAGTGAATCTGCCTCCTGCAATTTCTCCTTTATTTTATTCTCGCAATTTGATATTGCATTCTCAAATGCAGCATTCTCTTCTTTCAATGTCACCTCTCTAAGTTGGGCCTGCACCAAAAGTTATTATTAGTATTATTTGACTTCATTGCATTTTTAGTCTCCAAGTATCACAATTGTGTGAATTTGATCCTCAATTTTTCCATTTACATTTTACAACCAGATCCCCCTATTTTGATTTCATCCAATATTTACCAGAATTCACTGACGTGGTAGGATGATGATTACATATAATGTAGAGACTAAAAAACATAGAATGAACTACAGTTTTTACTGTACCAACTTAATAGCCATGTAAACAATTTTTACGATAAGTTAATTTTTTATGACAGCAATGAACAATAAAAGGAAGAAAAATGCTTGCAAAGACTTTGTAGCACATTCTTTTGAACACATCTTAATATTAACCAAAATTTATTAAAATTTACAACATTTTTGGGTTCATGAGTCTCCTAATTTTGTAGTTTTCAAAAAAGAGTAAATAGTCGCTTTTGGTCCCTGAAAGTGGTGACCAATGTCACATTAGTATAAGCAAATGCCAAATAAATACTTAGAATGTCAAATAATTACCTAAATCTTACTACTTATTCTCATTTCAATCTCTGAATACATATCATGATTTTCGTTACTTGCTTTTTCTGAGTTTTGTACTAACTTCATAGTCAATTTGCATTTTCAAAAACTGATTAATTTCTTTATTTCAGGACTAATATCATAGGGCCTTCCAATTTCAAGGAACAAAATAATGGCCATTTACTCTTTCAAAAAAATTTATGAGTATAACACCTCTTTGTATAAACTTGAAGCATTTCTAGTAGATAAAATTAGGAAGAAAAAAAATATAAACATTAATTTCCGGATAAACTAATTTGTAGAAGGGCTTCTAAGTTATGCATTAACTAGTCTTTTAGTGTGTGTTTGAATATGCATTGATACAATTGATTTTAAATCAATATGAATTTGCATAATTGATTTTGAGTAAACCTGAGTCAAAAGTAACATGAGCTTTGATTAGATGAAAAGGGATATGAACTCGATTTTCATATCGAATGATGTTTGAAAACCCGTTATCAAAATTGATTTCGAATGTATAATTATAAATCTGGGCAGATAAATCCGCTTTTCACATCACGAAATCAATTCTGCTAATAATATGTAACAAACTTGATTCTAGTCATTTTGGACAGAATGGAATTTGATTCAAACCAAACATACCCTAGTTAACGAAAAAATTCATTTCAATTTTCCTTCCTATTATTTTTTTGCTCCTAAAAGTGGTTCTAGGCAGAAGGTATATCATGGAAAAGGCATGTGGTTCGATTTTGAATGCATGAGAAGTGAAAGTGAGAAAGAGGACCTGTTGGCGCGTGGCGGAGTGGGAGTTCAACTGGAGGGCGAGGGCGGCGTTGGAAGCGAGGGAGTGGGCGTGGAGGTGAGGGAGGCTCTGGGAGATGTCGGGGGGAGGCAATCGGAGGCGTAGATCGTGGATCAAACGGCGGAGAGAAGCCGCCTTCTGATCCAGTTCGATCACGTACTTCTGCTGATCTTCCGAGAATAGGATTGGGATCATGGAATCGTCCTCCGCTTCCTTCCCTCCGCCACCGCCTACCGCCCATGCCAGTAACCCAGCCATGCTTTACTCAACACTCTCTCTCTCTCTCTCTCTCTCTCTCTCTCTCACTCGTCTTCCATTTCTTCCGTTTTCTGCTCCTTCAATTCGGATTTCGGAATCGGGGTGCTTCTTCCGTTGCTCGGAATTTCAAGCCTAAATTAAATTCATTTTCCATACACACATTATTTTTAAATGTTTTTTTTTTTATTATACCTAAAATAATTGAGTTTTCATTTGAATCTTGTAATTTTATTTTTATTTTTTTATAATTAAACTAAACAGTACTTTTTATTTCTTTTATTTGTATTGATTTATAATTTCGATCCCTCTGATTTTTATTTATTTATTGTCAATCAGTATTTTTCGTCGAGTATGAAAATAATCTTTTTCAAAGATTTGATAAACATTAAATTGATGAACGTGTATTTTCAATTTAAGTGTTTTATATCTATAAGAGTCAAATTCAATCCATGGCTACTGCTTGTTAAAGACTTGAAATAAAGATATTTAATTCCTATAAAATTTTTTTAAAAAATTAATATAACTACTAATTATTAAATTTTAACAGTTATTTATACATATTTAAATGATGGGACATTTAGTAATATAATATTTAAAAATAAGAAAATTAACAAAATAAATATATGTTTTTATAAATAAAATAAATATTAGTGGTTCATAAAAATTAATACAAACAAAAATATTTTATAAATTATTTTTTAAAAAATTTTTATTCATATATGACACATCATGACAGATCATTAAATAATATTAAAATTTAATAATTAATAAATAATGAATATCAAACTAATGATAAAATCAAAATGTCATATGTTTTAAAATTTAAAAAAAAAAACTAAATGTAGAAAAACGAAAAGTACAATTTAACTAGAATTTATAAGCATTTTTATATTAATAAAATGAATAAATTTTAATATTGATCTTTATAATTTTTTTTATTTTCATATATCTAAAATTTAAAGTAATTATTTTAATATTTTTAGTCTCAATAATTATTTTAAAGTATATATAACACTTATTTTAATAATTTATCAAAAAAATTAAAAATATTACATAGATAAAATATCATAAAAAATTGTGTGTACTAATAAATACATAGATAATTAAAAAGAATTACATAATAACAAAGAATAAAACAATAATTCTAAACTTTATAAGATAAAAAACAAAAAGAAAATACAAAAACTAAAATAAAAATATATTCATCTTATAGAATGTACAAATATATTTAAGGTTTTAAAGTAAAAAAACAGAGAGACCGAGTGCATATACTAATGATTATTGTTGTTTTTCCCAATTATATGATTTTTAAAAATTAAGAAACTGTATTATATTTTTTAATCATAAAGGTTATCGACCTCAATCAATTGAATTAAAAAGAAAGAGGGAAAAATTAATGCTAATTGTAAGTTAGAAAGGTTTTCTAGTTGTTGCCAACAGTGGTTTCAGTACAAACATTTGGGTTGTTAGGGGAGAATGGAGATCAATGATATTGAACACTTGGTGATTTCATTATTACTTTAAGAATTTCTTTGGTGATTTTGATTATTACTTTAAGCATTTGTTTATTTTTTATTTTTATTTTATTTTTGGGGGGTAAAAATCGTATTCAATAAGGATCTAAGATGCTCCCACAGCCAGAAGCTAAGAAAAAAATTCTTAGTAAAGAAAATTTAAATTTTAGCATATTCTACAATTGCGAAATACCTGTAGGTGCAGGATTTTTTTTTATTTTTTTAATTTTTTATCTCAACTTACATTACATAGTTGTATGCTTCTACACTAAACTAACCAACCCACTTTTCCCATGATTTTCTTAAAATTATATTATGAATTATTGGGTTGGATCAACTATAAAAAAAAAATAAAAAAAAAAGGATTGTTGTGGACTCCAGCCCCTGAGATTAATATGTCGCACAAAAGCCTCATGATTATTTTTTGGACTTTCTGTTGGAAAAGGAGTATTTTTTATTTTTTATTTTTACAAAATTCTAAAAAATGTAGACTAACAGTTTGATAACTATTTTCTTATATTATAACTAGGGAAAAAAGGCACTTTGTGTTTGAAAATAAAAAATAATAATAATTATTATTAGTAGTTACTTAAAAGAAGAAAGATTTGAAAATTGAATTAATAAAATATAAGGAAAGAAAAAGATTATTTAAAAGTAGTTATGGGGATGAATTAGTCTAAAATTTGTGTGAAAAAAAAAGGATATTTCATTTTTTAATACTATAAATTAGGTACGTTAAATATTTTTATTAATTAAATAAATAAATAATATTTCACAAAGTATACATATAAGTTGTAAAAATTAAGGGTTTTCTTAAGTAAATGATAAAAACCAAATTTGTTATTAACAATTGATATTAGTGTCCTCTTTCAACATGTATAGCTTTTTTTAATAAAAAAAAATTAGTAAGCATTTTGTTCTTAATTCGATACGATAAGATTTGTCTTTTTTTTTTTTTTTATCCTAAACCTAAACCTCCCTTTTCACTTTTGTCGGAAAACTATGTTATCACTAGAGTCTGTACGGCGGGAATCTTCATTCAATGAAATAGTAGAGTTGTGATTGTCAAATGAAGGATTGTCATTTTGACCCTTGTTGCATTTTCATCATTCGAGGTAAGGAGAGTGTACAAAATTCTTGTTGGTGAGTTTGATATTAGCCATAGGTAGAGAGGGATTGACCCTAGATGAACAAAATTTGATTATGTGATGGATTAATTAGTGAATACCCTTATTATGTGATTGAGGAAACTTGATTGAGTGATTTGCAATATGTTATGTTTCCTTATTACGCTAGGATGTGATTTTATAAGGTTAAATATCTCTTTTGGTCTCTTACAATATTTTTTTGTTTTAATTTAGTCCCACTTTAATTTTAGGTCTCAATTTGGTCCCCAATAATTTAAATCGTTCCAATTTCGGACTTCTGTCTAAATGATTTAAACGGAGTTAACTGGTGGCTACGTAGATGCCAGGTGGATGCCACGTATATGTCACGTAGGTGGATCAAAAAATATTTGAATACACCTGAAACCAGAATGGCCCGTTCTAATTACACTATTGGTGTGTAAAATTTGCACCTGAAACGGGCCGTTCTAAGTCCAAAATTAACACATTAACAGTGTAACCAGAACGGGCCGTTCTAGTTTCAGAACGGGCCGTTCTGGTCCAGAATTTCGTGCACAAAAAAACCAAAATACAAAGCATTTCAAACACTAGATTTGGTAATATTGTTAATGAGGATTAATAACTTCAATTGCTAAACATTTGGGCTATACAGTATATCATTAAGGATGATGCAGTGTATCACTAAGGACAATGGTAACAAGTTTTATTTCATTGTTAGTCAAACTGGAGTGAACCACTTACTACCAAATTGACACTATACAGTCAAGGATAAAACGAAACAGTGTTTTTCCTTGAAGTCATTGACGATGTACCCCAACAATAACAACCTGTTTTTGAGGAAGTACCCCTAAACCCTGAATTTTATTTTCAATTTTTGAAATACATTGCGGCATTTTAGTCAAGAATTTAAACTGGATAAATTCAAATCAAAGAAATATTTTGGAAGGTCTTATCTTATTTGATTTTTTTTAGTTTTATTCATAAATAAATATTAATTTATTATATTTTTTATTTATTATATATTTATTAATATAGATATAACAAAAAAATACAATAAAAAGCATGGCGTTCTGGAATTCAGAACGACCCGTTCTAAAAGCAGAACGTAAAGTTCTAAAAGCAGCACGGCCCGTTCTAAAAGTAGAATGGCCCGTTCTGGTTTCAGAACGGTCCGTTCTGAAATCAGAACGGGCCGTTCTGGTTTCAGTTTTTTTCCAGAATTTTGAAGTCCACGTGCGCATCCACGTGGCATCCACGTAGATGCCACGTGACCAACAGTTAACTCCGTCTAAATCATTTGGACGGAAGTCCCAAATTGCACTAATTTAAGTTATTAGGAACTAAATTGAGACAAAAAATTAAAATAGGACTAAATTGAAACACAAAAAAAATATTATAAGAGACTAAAAGAAGTATTTAACCATTTTATAATCTCAAATGTGTTAGATGCATGTTTAAAGACAATTTGAGGACCCTAACCCATAAACATCAAATCACAACCTGTCAAGTGTAAAATCTCAAACAATGCGCATTAGATAAGCAGTGCTTAACACACTAAGGTACTAACGAGTATGAAGCTCTCTACAATTTAGGTGGTGGCAAGCAACACCCCCCTTTTATATATATATATATATATATATATATATATTTTTGGGACTAATTAAGGATAAGGATAAAAATATTAAAGTGAGAGAACCAAACTTAATTAAGTTGAGATTCTAAATGAGTCGATCCATTCCAACTTACTTTTTATTGAATTAAGAAATTTTCAACTTAACTTAACACATCACAAAGTATGCATATAAGTTGATCACTTGTGACTTATTCACTTATTTATTTATGCTAAATAAAGTGTTTTATTTTATTTATTTTTAAATAAAACTGAGATATTTTTTAAGAAAAAATTTAAAATGATTAAATTTAAAATTTTAAAATTATAAGTCGTATTTATAAAACACGATTTAAAAATAACGTCATGAATAAAAAGACTTTTTATTTAATTTTAAACAAGAATCATGTTAAAAACATAGTATGTTTGAAATGTTGATCAATGGATGTGGAAAAAATAAGAACATCATCAATATATATAGATAATGCAAAAATTTGAATAAGGATTGAAAATATCATTCATGATATTCTGAAACTCCGAGGGAGCATTTTTAAGACCAAAAGGCATTACGTTCCATCCGCCTTGCCCCAAAGGAACAGTGAAAGCTGTCTTATAGCGATCACTGGGGTTGATTTGGATTTGCCAGAACCCGGATTTCATATCAAATTTTGAAAAGATCTTTGCAGAGTGTAAACGGGCAAGTAGATCTTTCTTATTAGGAATTAGATATCTAATCCATTGAAGAGCTTGATTGAGTGGTTTGTAGTTGATGACCAATCTTGGGGCACCACGTTCAATTTCAGAAGCCTTATTGACATAAAAGGCTGAACAAGACCATATATATATATATATAAAGAAAAATTGTGTTTTATTAGACGATTTATCTTTTATGTTTTTTTTCCTTTTTATGATAAAATATTATTTTTACTTAGTGTTAAAAAATATCGTATTTTAAGTTTCAAATTCGGTTTTTTAAAGCTATTAAGTAGAATTTGTATCTTTGAAATAAAACTTGATTTTTAAATAACTTAGTGTATCCATTTTCAATACTTTTTTCAAAAAAATTTGCAATCTTTTTTTGGGTACCATTTTAGTAAATTTCCAAATCAAACAAAAACCTCCACTATAGTAATGATGAAGTACAAAACCTCCACTCATCATCATATTGTGTCTAAAAAACTACTACTACATTAAAATCATTACATTAAAATTAATTTTTTTAGCAATTAATTTATTCTTTAGCAATCATATAAATGATCATTATTTTTTTTACAAACATTTAAATAATGGATAGTGTATCCAACGTCGCTAATACTATTACCGACATTTATATAAAATGCTAATAAAGACCTACTAAATTGTCAAGAAAACTTATTTTTTTAATGACAATTCTAGTATCCATTTTAAAGGCTATTAAAAGTTTTTTTTTAATTGTCTCCTTTCCATCCATTTAGTGACTTTTATCTTTTGCTAGTAAAACTTTAAATAATTTATTTCTATAATTTCCTTTTCTAAATTCATAACTTATATACTTTTTAATCTCTAGTCGATGTGAGATTTGTAAGATGAGAGTTGTTTTCTATTTATATATTTTTTATTTGTCTTGTCTCTTAAGAGATGTGAGATTTATAAGGTAAAAGTTGCTCTCTAATTATTTTATAGCACTATTGAACTTGGTAATAGTGGGTGATTTGATACCAATTTAAAATAGTGAATTAAGAGTCTAACTCAACCCTATAAAATCAACTTGTAAGGTGATAGTTATTACTCACTTATATATTATTTAATTATCTTATCTATAATCGATGTGGGTATGACGTAGTAGGTTGGTTCAAGGTTAGTGAATGCTAGAGTGAAGTGTATTTAAGGCTTTATCTGAAAACAGAGCCTCATAAGTTCATTCTCAAAAAAACCTAGAGAGAGGTTTTAGAGAGAAGGACTCTGGCCCGTGAGCTCCTTTCTCTCCTAAACTTCTCTATTTGATTCTTCTTCTCCCCTAGATCACTAATTCCTTCTATCTTTTCTTGAATTCAGGCGAAGAAGCTTGTTCTGGAGGATTGAAGTTCGTAAGCTGAGCTTCGGGGAAAGTCATCTTCTTCTTCCTATTCTTGGCAATTCTGAGCCAATCTTCAGGTGAGGGAAGCTAAATTATAGATTGATTGGTTGTATGTGAGAGAGCCTTAGAGCTCTTGGGTTGGGCTCAAGTCGGGCGCGAGCTGATTTGCGATGGGCGTGAGTTTATTTGATAAAATGTTGAATAATGATGATTGATGTAGTATGATGAGTTAAAAATTATATTGATTAATTGTGTTGTGAAGTTAAGTAGCTGTATAGAGATGATATTTGAGTAGAAAAGTCGAGTGTTGTATGAGTTGTTGAGCTGGATTGAGTTGTTGTGTTGCTATTTCGAGTTGTTAAGATGAATTGTGTTGTTAAGCTGGGTGTTGATTGTGCTGTGATGATGAGTTGTTGATCACTAGGACTAGAAGAGATGTTTTTGAAGTTGCTCATCCCATTATATGGATTGAGATAGTTGTGGTACTCTAAGAGCCCAATTTTTTGAAAACCCTCCTTGGGAAGTTTCCTATTAGAGTGGATGATGTGTTGTTCTCCTCTAGGACTTAGTTGGTCTTGTGTGTGGGCAAGGTCAAGGCACACGTGTATGAAGCGACCACGGTATAGGGGTCAAGTCGAGTTATACCGGTTACAAGCGGCCAAATTTGAGTAAAGTATGAAATCGGGAACTAAGTTCCTAATTGAGTATTGGAGGATTGTGGTATTTGGAAGATAGTCGGTAGGCTAATCCCATAGGTGGCTTAGTTGAACTAGCTAATATTGTGGTAGGCTTAAACCCAGCTGTTTTATCCTGACAGAGTACTATACTTCCTTGTTTAAGTGGAAAAGTCTGAGAAACTGTTATCGTGTTGTGGATTGTTATCCAAATTTGATGTTTACCTAGCAAGCCCAAAAAGGTTTTGTGTGATAGGACCTAACCGCTTAGACTGCTCACCTATGTTGTAGGAGATCTCCAAGCTAAAATGCATGACGACACATAAGTTGTTGATGAGTTGATTCTATGTGGATGCAAGTTGAATATATGTTGTTGAGTTGTGAAGCTGTGGTTGAGTTGTGTGTTGTTATATGTTGCATGCTGAACTATTGAGGATGATATATGTTGATTCTTTTCACTAGCTTACCCTTCTATTTCCATGTGGTGTGGACTGCGATGATCATACGTGGTATAGGAGCAGAGCAAGGATAGGCTAGAGAGTAGCAGTAGTGCCACATGTGGTGGTTGGAGCTGATCTTTTGTGTAGACTACTTTGGAGTAGCATTTTATTAATATTATATTCTTTTATGTATGTATATTCTAGTAGTGTGTAATGTTGTTCTACAATATGACGACCAGACAAAACGTTACAGTGAGACTTAAGTTTTTTTAATAAATAATTATTGTTAATAGTAAACTTTAATGTAATATAAATATATTTTTAGTGACTATTATATATTAGTCATTAATATTTTTATTATATAATTAAATAACGATAATTAAATTATTATTATTAAATAATTATTGTTAATAATAAATTTTATTGTAATAAATATTATAATCTAAACTCGTTCAGCTTTGGAAATCGTAAACAACACACACTCTGCTTGTTAAGCTTCGTTCGTTCAACTTTCATCCATCCATCTTATTCTTGATTCTTGAGTGAATCATCACAAATCGTCTCATCATTTTAGCACCACTATCAAACCTATCATTAATATTTGTCTTTTGTGATATTTTGCCAATGCCAATGTACACCTTCTGCATGTAGTAATGTTCAATAAATTCTCAACGCAAAAATAACTAATGTTATGTATATTAAAAAAAATTAATCATTTATATTAAATTTTATTACTTCCATAAGATTTTTTATGAATTATTTTTATTATAAATATCAAAAATAGAAATGGAACTAAAAGATCATACATTTAAACAAATATATTTTAAAAATATTTTTAAATAATATAAAATAGTTAAATTTGTTTATATTTAAGAAAAAAAAATGTTATTTTTTTAAAATAATAGAGATCAGAGGGAGTTGATAAGATGGAATACATCTTAATATCTCTACTACATGAATCAGACGACCCTTACTAACATTTAAGGATCACATATATAGTATTATTTGGTTCGACTTTGTTGTTTTATACTTGGATTTTTTTGTGCACTCTTTTCCCAATATTGCACATTATTTACACAGCAATCAGCATGCATTAATTGGTTGTGAAGCACTTAAACTGATGGCTAAGAAAGAAGAGACAGACACGTATTCCCATCGATCCCTTCCCTTAAATCAATGATCAAATCCTCTTTACTCCCACCCTTCCATTATTCATTTTTCTTTAATCTAATTCAAGTCCCCTTCAACAAACCAAATCAAACCCTTCACCTCAACTTCTGCTAACAACAATCAACTACGCTCAACCATCACCAAAAATCAATAAACTAACCCAAAATCTCAAATTCCAAACCCCACTCTCCGACTTATAACAATTTAATATCTAACCAACTTGTAGATAGAGTAGCTGCTAATGCAGAATATATCCAAACTCAAGGTGAGAATAACACTAACAAAACCCTCCAGACACTATAAATTATAGTATACAAAACCCATCACCATAAGCATTGATGATAACCATAATCATATCAAACACCACTTCCACCAACTTTATCAGAAGCAATGGCTAACAACAAAAAGAACACTCCTTACGTCTTCCCACAGACACAATCCACTGTCCTTCCTGACCCCTCCAACTTCTTCTCCTCAAACCTTGTCTCAACTCCACTCCCCACAAACTCTTTCTTCCAAAACTTTGTCCTCAAAAATAGTGACCAACCTGAATACATTCATCCCTACCTCGTCAAATCCTCCAACTGTTTCCTCTCACTCTCATACCCTTCTCGCAAAGCCAGTTCTTCTGTAATATACCAAGAGTTCAACCCTGATCTCACCATCACCTCTAAGCAAAGTTCCACTGGGAAGCACACAATCACTTCCTTCACTGATCTCAGTGTCACTTTGGATATCCCTTCTTCCAACTTACGGTTTTTCCTCGTGAGGGGTAGCCCCTATTTGACTCTCTCCGTGACCCAACCAACCCCTCTTTCCATCACCACCAACCATTCCATTGCCTCCTTCTCTTCCACTGGTTCCACTTCCATCAACAAATTCACCATTAAGTTTGACAACGCCCAAACATGGCTCCTCTATGCTTCCTCTCCCATCGAGTTGAGTCACACCACTTCTGAGATCACTTCTCAGGCCTTTTCTGGCACAATTCGCATAGCCTTTTTACCTAATTCTGATCCTGATAACGAGTCCATTCTTGATTTGTTCAGTTTTACTTACCCCGTGTCAGGGAATGCTGTAATCAAAGAACCATTTTGTGTGGAGTATAAGTGGGAGACAAAAGGGTCTGGAGATCTGCTACTACTAGCACACCCTCTCCATCTTCAGCTTTTGTCAACTAAAGACACTGATGTAACTGTTGTTGATAGCTTTAAGTACAGAAGCATTGATGGGGATCTTGTTGGTGTTGTTGGGGACTCGTGGATCTTGAAAACTGATCCCGTTTCAGTGACATGGCATTCTTCAAGAGGCATTAAAGAAGAAAACCAAGATGAGATTGTTTCAGCTCTTGTTAATGATGTTGAGACTCTAAAAATGGGAACCACCGACTCTTACTTATATGGGAAACAGATTGCAAGAGCTGCAAGGCTGGCACTGATAGCTGAAGAGGTTTTCTTCTATGATGTGATTCCAAATGTTAGGAAGTTTCTGAAGGATTCCATTGAGCCATGGTTGGATGGAACTCTGAAGCTGAATGGGTTCATGTATGATCACAAATGGGGTGGCATTATTACCAGTAAAGGGTCTGATGATGCTGGTGCTGATTCTGGGTTTGGAATTTACAATGATCACCAGTATCATTTGGGGTATTTCCTTTATGCCATTGCAGTGCTTGCAAAGATTGACCCAGCATGGGGTAGGAAGTACAAGTCCAAGGCCTATTCACTAATGCAAGATTTTTTGAACATGGACACAGAGTCAAACCCCTATTACACAAAACTGAGGTGTTTTGACTTTTACAAGTTACACTCTTGGGCTGCAGGTACAAATTTATACATTTTCTCACTCATTTTTGTTTTAAAAAAAAAATACAAATTTTGTCACCAATTGTCTAATGTCATTAGTTGACTGCTAAAGTAAACACTGATTTTACAAATTTTGTTAGCCTATTAGTTGGTCGTTTGATCTCGTTAATTGACCGTTAATGTAACATATTGACATGTTTTATTTATTTTTTTTATTTTCTTTTTGGTAATAGGATTAACTGAGTTTGCAGATGGAAGGAACCATGAGAGCACTAGTCAAGCTGTGAGTGCATATTATTCAGCAGCCTTGATGGGTATGGCATATGGTGATGTGCAGCTTGTTGCCCTAGGATCAACCCTAGCAGCAATGGAAATTCGTGCAGCCAAAACGTGGTTTCATGTGAAAACGGGTGAGAAAATCTACGAGGATGAGTTCACAGTGGAGAATAGGATAATGGGTATTCTGTGGGCCAATAAAAGAGACACTGATGTGTGGTTTACTTCTCACAAGTTAAAAGTGTATAGGCTTGGGCCTCATACCTTGCCCGTAATGCCTATCTCAGAAGACCTTTTCTCAGATGTTGACTATGTGATTGAGCTTGTGGAGTGGGTTTTGGCTGATTTGAATAAGGAAGGTGCTGAGGATGCATGGAAGGGGTTTGTCTATGCCCTCGAAGCAATTTATGATAATGAAGGTGCATTGCAGAAGATAAAGAGTTTAAAAGGTTTTGACGACGGAAACTCTTTGACAAATCTTTTGTGGTGGATTCACAGCAGAGGTTATGGAGATGATAAGTAAGATGGATATCATTTGGAAGTTAAAATCATTTTTCTTATTGTTATGACAATAGTTGATGATTATCTCGATATTTATGTAGAAATAAAGTTATGATAAAGTTACAATGATATCATGCATTAATGTAACACACATCTTTACAAGAGATAACACGTGTAAATATGTAAAAAGAAAAATTTACATGTAAATGATGTTAAAGAAATAATTTTTTTTTATCAATTTATAGTTTATTAATTGTAAATGATTTATCGCAAACAATATTTTGTCCAATATGTAGATTTATCATTAAAATGGTGGGTGCTACTCTTAATTTTCTGATACATTTTTCATCATGTGTCTATTAGTAAAAAAAATTGTCATCTATTCAGAGTTTCTTTTAGTAAATTACTTGTTATATATTCTACTCAATAAAGAAAGTAGTAAATAGAAAAGTAAATATAAAAATGTCTTAGAAATATTAAACACATTCTAAATACATTTCAAATAAAAAAATAGAAAAATCTATAGGTAGATAGAGAATTTAGAATTATTAATATTGATATGATATTTTAAATCGAGTTCATACATTTTCTATTTTTTATTGGACAACCGTTTTTCATCATTAACTCGTCATTTGTCTGAGGAGTATATCCACAAACACATTATCTTATTATCATTTTACTTAATAAAGAAAGTTTTAAATAGAAAAGTAAATATAAAAATGTCTTGGAAATATTAAACACATTATATATATCACATAAAAAATAGAAAATTGATTGGAGGATAGAAGATTTAGAATTATTCTTTATTGAATTCATATATCAAAAAAATTACTTGAATGAAGGTGAACTATAGACAAGTCTCCTTACAATGTCTTTAACTAATCTATTTAGAGTTTTAAAGTAAATTTCTATACGGATTAAATATGATTTTATAGCCTAAACTTTTTTTTTTATTTCCTTACTTTTTAGTCTTTAAAATAAATTTTAACGATTTTAGTTCTTAAAATTTTTCTTTATTAATATTTTTATATTTTTCAAATACCTATATTAAGTGATGATGTGACTTGTCACATGTATTTTATTTTTTAAATTATATTTTTAATTATCTTTTTATAAAATTCATTTTTAGTCTATTAATAATTTTTTTGGTCGTTCTTAGTCCATCAACTATTATTTGGTAATGTGATACTACTTAGCTTAATTCCTTAAAAAACAAATTATCTTTATTTAGTAATGATGTGATAACCATATAACTTATGATGATATGGATTATTAGTGTTTAATTTTCATAGCAAAATGTGGTAAAATGTTGTTGGTTCAAAATATTTCTAATTGTTAAGGCAGTACATATACTAGTACCACTACAAGAAAAATACAAAATAGCGACCGAAATTAGCGACCGAAATTTATCGGTCGCTATTTTGCGACCGAATAATTTAGCGACTGATTTAGCGACAAAATTTGATCAGTCGCTGTTTAGCGACGGAATTAGCGACGGATTTTATCAGTAACAATAAAATCGGTCGCTAAATCAGTCGCTGTTTAATTTTGTTTCGTGGGAACGTAGTTTGCGACGGAATTAGCGACCAATTTTGAAAAAATTATAAAAAAATTGCGACCGAATTTAATTCGGTCGCTAATACTAAACTTTTGAAATTTTTAGTCGCTAAATTTTTTTATTAAATTTTATAAATAGACTAAAATTACACATTTCATTAAAGTTACACAGCCAGGTTTCGATCCCAGGTCCTGTAGGTAACCATGGGCCAACTACGAAACCACTACGCCAGTTTGATTCATTGATATAATACTGAAAGTAATTATATATATATATATAAAATACAGAAGCTTATAATTTTTATTATCTTATAATTTAATATTAGATTTCTTTTAATTATAAAATATAGTAAATAAAATCTAAAATCTGTATCAGTTTCTTTGATAAAAATATTTAATTAAATTTTAAAAAATATTTAATTATAATCTTTTGATTTAATACTGGATTTGTTTTGATTATAATATTTTAATGTATTTTATTTGAAATATCAGTTAAAATATTTTATTATCTTTTCATTTTAATTTATTGTAAAATAATTAGAATATTTAATTTAGTATCATTAAAAAAATAACCATTATAAGATTTAATTTATTTAATTTCATTATTTATTATAATACTTTTAGTTACTGTATTGATATAAAAATATTTTTAATTAAAATATATTTTAAAATTTTAATTAATTTATTATCATTCACTTACTTTATTAAAAAGTGATAAAATATAATTTATTTT